AGCGTGCCACTTGGTTCAGTCCCCGTTTAACGCTCCAAAACTCAGTATCTGTCATGCGTCTGCAAAAGGCTCTGTGAGAACACAGGCTGCCCGTGTCTGTCCACTTCACAATTGTGATTAAATCAGCCAAGCATTTTTTTCCATTCCCTTTTTACCTGTCTATCACTCACTACCCAGCACAGATAATTACGACTTTTCTCTGGCATATTCATTTGAAGAGACGGATCACAATGGAGGGAGGGGAGTGATAAGCAAACTTTTGCCTTGTCATCAAAATAACAGTCATGGGATAAACAGCAGAGCAGAAAATAATGTCTTCATTAGAGCAGAATGAAGAACTGTCTGGAAACGTTACAAAAAATATAATTAATTTGAAATGTTGTGGTTACTAAGTAGGTAGCTCATACTAGTGGATCTTTTGTCCTATTTTTTTTTTTATTACTCTGTTGATTAAAATGTGTTGCTCTTTTTTCAGTCTAATCTTCGTTGCATGCTTATGTTGACCTCTCATCTGGTTCTTCAAGTATATCATGGCCTTTAAGCATGAATGTGCTTAATAGCCTGCCGTCTGTTTTATGTTCGGTACATTTCTTTCTTTCACTCACTCACTCACTCACATTCCTGACATTACAAAGATACTTTACTTAAACCGTGGAAGTCAATCTCTTTTCAGGCTTGCCTTGAGCCTCCCTGTGATTTCAGCATCACTCAGAGTCATGGACATTGTCATGAACAGCATAAAGGCCTCAGTTGCAATATTTAGTCAGTGACTAACTGTTCTGGTGCTCGGTGGTGGGTTGAAATGTTGAGAGCAATTTGTTGCTAGGAGCAGAGGGCCTCGAGTGAAATAGAGCAGTGCTGAATAGGCCACGAGCAGCCGAATGAGACGGTCCATGGCTTAGCTCTAATACAATTTGAAAGGCATTACTCTCATAGAGTGTTCTCAATGACAAACCACTCTAGAGCTTCTTCAAGTGCAATAACAATGTCAGCCAGGCTTTTGGTTGACATTAGAGGGTTCTGAAAATTAAGGCACGTGGTCAGAGAAATAACCTGTGGTTATCGTAAGGCAGTTAACTGACTTTTATAGCGTCAAGTGGTGTTATACAATACACTCCTGCTGATGATCATTAATGATTTTTCACATGCATTTGCAATTTATTATGTGATGTTCATGATAGCAGTATAATGTCTCTGTGATTGCAAATTGAATGTCAAACCTAATTACTGTACGATTCCACTACAACTGGTATTGTCACAATTGTTGCAGCTTTTTTTTTCATTTAATTTAATTGGCAATAATATTTTGTCATTGCTACAGTAAACACTAATATTTCACCATCACAGAGACAACAGTGTTTATGTATTTATTTAAGAATTATGTTTTGAAAGCGTTGTCAGTTTATTGATTGTTTAGCAGTATGTGTATGGAACAATTATTGTTATAAATATGTATACTTTAACAGGCCATGCATGTTTCATTTAACCCAGAAAATATATTTGCTCATGTCAAGTAACTCTGCTAGCTTTGTTGCCGCTTAACTCCAGGATTATACCAATCAATATTTCATGAATAAGTCTAAATCAAATCGTTGGATCCACACCACAGAGTGTGGGTAGGTCACTGATGAGCTGATTTGACAGGAAATGATGCATTGTTTACTCAGGGGTTTACAGGAAAAGCTGACAGGTAATCTAAGATTGACTTGCAGGCAGACAGAAAGACAAGTGAAGATGCTTAATGAATCTCGAACGTGTTAAACTGATGCATGATGCCTCTAACTGCTGAGAGACAAAAAATCTGATAGCACTCCATGCTGGTGTCTTAAATTCAATCATCTTTTACTGGCTATAGTTATCTTTTGAAAGCGCGATTTCCTTTCATTTTCATGCTTGTTAGTGGTATGAGCATAGCTTAATCTGATTTCTTAATTTATATTTGAATTATCTGCATTACAAGTTTATAGAGCTGTTCAATTTGTAGTCCTAAAACCTGGAAGAGAATGAGCGTATTCGAGCCATAATTCCCTCAGGAATTTCTAAAGTTTTTAGAATACATTTTTTGGATTTATGAATTAAATTTGGTTAATATTGCTTGAAGATACTTTCATGATTAGTTCTGCAATATAAATTACACAAAATCATAATTCAAACATTAATTTTGAAACATGCTTTAAAAAAATACAACACAACTTAACATAAATTGCTGATATTGGATATACACTGAACAAAATTATAAACGCAACACTTTTGTTTTTGCCCCCATTTTTCATGAGCTGAACTCAAAGATCTAAGACTTTTTCTATGTACACACTTGATGCACTTAAACAAACAAACAGAGCAAATCTACATGTATATACCTATTTGCAACCTATATCTTATTCCTATCTAGTAGCCTATGTGCACCTGCCTCAAGATCTCTCAGTCTGTTTACGATCCGATAGATGCATGTGACAAAACAGAAAATGCTTATAAAGTAATCAAATGTATAAAAACACTGCATATATTCTTCACTGTGTAAAACTTCTTATGAATTTTACAAAAGTGATTTAGTCAAGAGCAGTGATAGATTTTTTCTCTTTTGTTGTTTGATTAACATGATTGACAGACAGCAGGAATATTAGACTGCTGTCACTTTAAGAGCTGCCCGGATCCAATATGCTGTTACATATGTGTTTTCTTTCTCTTAAGACATGTGCCTTCACTTAAGACTTATATTACTGTGTTTACGAGGATACTTGCAAAGACGGCATTTTGCTACATACAAGTGTGTTCATTTAACCATTCAAGGCCTATAAAACGGTAAAAATATCTGCATTAAATACTCCCGTGCTCTATGAGCACCGTGTTCACGTGCGTGCCCCTCTTTGACAGCGCTCAGAAGCAGTCTTTCAGACAGCAAGTGCATATAACGAAATGAGTTCTCTTTCACTGCTGAATGCATTTCAACGGCTTAAAATCACTCATTTTTAAACAGCAATGCTTAAAAACGCATGCAAATGATCAGTTTTCATGTCCATTTAGCATAGCAACATCACATGGGCGTGTAACCGTGATAGAGACAATAGTACAAATCTCTACCGTTATAATCTGTAATCTCTGTTTTGATGCCTGAATGTGCTTATGTCAATTACAAAGATTGTATTTATTTATTTATTTTGACAATAGTTTAGAATTGTAATATCGACCATAATATAAAAATTTATTTTTATTGGCATTATTGGCAAGAATTGTATTACTTGTGCATTAATATTTGTGTTAAACGCCTATCCTATATTACTCATAAATTGAAAACTGTTATTTAAAAAGCCCATTATATATATTGAGTGTGAGTGTGGTTAGAGTTTTGTTGCTCTTGTTAGGTGACATGACCGCAGATGTACAGTGTCAATGCTGGGTAAGGTTTCACTGGGTCTTACCACACTACCTCAGATGTTTTCAACATTCATCTGCTGCAGACTGAAACCATAACCCACACTGTTGTTATAAGTGAATTAGATGCACTCAACCACGTTGTTCTTAAATCCCTCATTTCTACTGGCCACCTCCACAGCAGCAGCATTGCTTTTATATTTCAAGGCTAGGTAAGGTTGCGCACGAAGCTCTTATTTTTCATCAAAGACCTCAAACTGCTTTTTCTTATAAGAGACAGTTGAAAAGCGATGAGACAAAATTGGAAACAATAAACGACAAGCCCCCTGTAAACAGATGGGTACAAGTTTTGCACATTATACTGTTATGTTTTATTAACAAATCAGGCCATTATAATGTACTGTACAGCAAATGGTAATAAGTTTCAAATTGAGTTTGGTGGGTCGTTAATGAATTTTGAGTAATGGCATGGTGAGCCCCAGTCTTTGTAATTTTAGATTAATTTAATTGCAGATCTATAAAAAAGTGCATTTTAGCCACCTTAAACTGCCCTAGGCTGCAGGCATCACCCCTAATTGAGGGTCCTGTGTGACCATATTGGTTTATACAAATGACTTTAATATGCATGTTGCATTGTGCACTATGATTATCAAAAAGAAAGGAATAACTCATTGACTTATGGTCCTTTATTGCAACAAATTGCACCATGTATTTAGGTTTATTGACAATCTGGAGCTAAGAACAAGTGATGTTAATGACATACTCTAAATGCGATCACATGCTGCTTAGCTCTCTCACTCTTTCTTTCTCTCTCCCTATTCTTATCCCCCCAGATCATTTAATGTCTCCAGATACATTGTGTTTTATAGCCAATTATCTAACACAATCCATTATCAGTTTTACTGTTATCTCTCATGCATTGCTTTATGTTCCTGTTGGAGTGCATGGCCTGCGCAAGTTGCCTTAAGGCACCGCACACAAACAGTTATTTCATTTGCATTTGCCTTCACTTCAGTTTCAATGCGGCATTCTTAGGTGAATCTGTTTGCAGAAGTGTGTTAATCACGTGAATCCAGGGCTCAGAATCTTTAAAAAGTGGCAAATGTAAGTGTTGACTTTTAACTGTGAGTGTTTTAGTACAAAGACATACAAATTGTCTTCCAAAGAAAACTGTTTTAATGACTTTTAATTCAGTGAAATAATTCAGCTAAATATCTCCTCTAAGATGCATAAATATTTTATTCTTTCCTCCAGAATTCCATCTGGTCATACATATGTCGAAATTTCTTCACATTAAGCCACCAACAGAAATGTGGGGAACGGAATAATGCAATTTTTTCATGTTCTTGTCACATGTGACATTTTCGGAGAGACAGAGAATGACTCGTTTTGTATATGATGCTGCAGGTGCCACAATGACCTGTGCTGTTTGTCAGTAATATAGATGTGGGGGAAAAAAGCTGAGAAAAATCTCACTGTTTCCAGAGTTGAGAAACAATGGAGTGGTGTAACCCAGCTCATCTTCAAAACCAAACTTTTCTAACCTGTAATGAACTTGTTCGCAGTGTACTTGTTGGTGGGTTTATGTATTCTAATGCAGTTCTTTGCCTGTCTCTTCCTGTTTTTAGCTGGGTGAATAACTTTGGCCATGAAGGTCTCGGGCTGCTTTTGGATGTGCTGGAGAGGCTTCTTGACAAGAAACAGTAAGTTATGCTGGACTTTCTGACGTCGTCATCTTAAGAAATTCCCTTTCTTCAGTGCCTTTGGATTGCTCAATCACCAACTCTTATCTTTCTCTTTACTCACTGATTTTCTTTCCCTCAGGCAAGAGAACATTGACAAGAAGAACCAGCATAAACTCATTCAGTGCCTCAAGGCCTTCATGAACAATAAGGTGTGTTTAGAATTTAAAAGCTCCACCATGAGTAGTTTATATCATTTTGCAAAAATTGTCCTTGAGAATGAATACATTTCTGATTGAAATACTGCTTCTTTATTAAACGGGAGCAAACACAAATGAAGCTTGTTCAACTCTAGATAATCATCAGGTTTAATATTTTCTACAGCTGCTTTCATGCCTAAATGGTAATGACATTATTCAGTTTATACCTCAGCCATGTTAAATATGAATGCTATTTTATTCCAAACACTTTGCTGTTTTTATTTATTTAATTTATTTTTCCCCAAGTGAATTTCAAGTCAAGTGCAGTGCATTATGCTCTGTGAGGAAGACAAAGATGCAGGAATATGATTATTTGTCCCTGCTGCCCTGTCCTCATTTAAATTATTTTATCCTAAAACATTTTTACACCTGCCTAATTGACTCTTTCAGGAGAAGAAAGCCTAAATTTGTCCATACACAAGGGGATCATTGTGTTTGCTTAAAGTTTAAAGGGATTATCCATTGCAAAATGTTTACATTTTTACAAGTTGTAGTAAAATGAGATGTCTCTGTTTCCAGTATGGCCTCCAACGTATCTTGGGGGACGAACGAAGCCTCCTCCTCCTCGCAAGGGCGATCGATCCTAAGCAGACTAATATGATGACTGAGATTGTCAAGATTCTGTCAGCTGTTTGTATCATCGGAGAGGAGAACATGTAAGATCATCAGCTCAGTATCATTTAATGTGGTTTATTATACTGTTTTCTTCAATATTTCCTCAAGTGGCTTGAGAATCTACCTTCAAATACGCTATATGAAATACTATTACAAATTATATATTGTGACGAGTTGGCTGCCTCCCCCTAATTATCATCATCACCCCGTCCCTTAATCGCCGCCCTTCACCAGGCTCCCGACAGGAGTGGGTGCGTGAGAGAGGAGG